TATGTATATATATATGTATATGTATATATATATGTATATGTATATATATGTATATATATGTATATGTATATATATGTATATATGTGTGTTTGTCTCACATGCTATAATACATACTCAATACGTGAAAGTATGATTAAAACCATTTTTGAATTGTTAATAATTTGCATCTATCTTATTTTTTTAATTCCCCACTTCCATATGCTGGCCTAAGTCTTACAATGATATTACAAGGAGGCATATGTTAAAACCTTTCTGTGGTTAAGGAAATTTTAAAAATTTTTCTTGTATCTAAGTATGTTCAAGATGCTCCTTTGAAAGTTTTAGAAGCAACCAAACTCCCCACATAGAAAACACATCTATGACTTTCAGCTATAATCAGCTTCTCTGTTCTGAGTTTTTTTAGAAAAAAGTATTTGTTTTTGTATAGATAGAGGCCAGGCTTGTCTTAAATTGATAGCCTCAAGCAGTCCTTCCACCTGAGGCTCCCAAAGGGCTGGGATTTCAGGAATGAGCCACCAAGCCTGGCCACCTAGCTTGTTCTGAGTGTAAAGAAAAGCTCCACAATCAATTCATTTCTTTGCTTGAGATCATGAAGCCCAGGCTAAAAGTTCCTTCTTGGGAACATAGCTATTTAGCAGTATTGCAGAATACTGCAGTATTGCAGAGGAATCCAGCTTGTAAAGATGCCAAAATCTATCCCAGACACTGCATCTTATATAAATGAGCATATATATACTATATTTATCTGTATGTCATGCCAGGAAATGGTGCTTGTTTTAACTGGCTAATATTTCAAATATGCTAATTTTCCATTTACACATGATCGTATGTCAATTACCAATTCTTGAAGGACGAAACCTTCCACAATGAAAGATGTGACAGAAAACATACTTGATTGTACACATTAACTCACAGACATTGCCATAAAATTATTGACGGTAGAAGTGAAGTTATTTAAAATTTGCTAATCTAGTTTTACTTTCTTTCAGTTCCTATAAAAAACAACCTGCCTGCAAATACCCTGAGCAGTATTGCATAATTAATTGTGTCCTGGTGAAAATCAATCCAAATATGTTCTCAAGACTATCTTACAGGCTTTGTTATAGACACCTGACAGAACATTAAAAAAAAAAAAAAAAGGAAAAAACCCCAAATACCTAATATAGAGTCCCAGCTATTCCAGAGGTTGAGGCTGGAGGATGGCATTTCAAGTGTATAATGAAATATCAAGTGTAAAGAAGAACTATGTAATTTCTATCTACTCTTTACCTTAAATTTACCATTTTATTCCACAGCAACACTTGGTGACCTATCAGTGGCCCTAGTCCTCCAGGCCCCCGGGGTGGTGTTTCCATGAAAATCCTGGAACGGAGCACTGGGGTGACTCTCCCCCTCCGGAGTGAATGGGAGCAGAAATAGAGTGTTTGTATTCTGTGCAGTTGGGCGTCAGCATGCAATGCCTGGCACATTCCGCCCAGGCAGGGTTTTGTGTTTCACATTCTAGTCTGCACCCGCTGCACAGACAATCCAGGGCTTTTGAATTATATTGTTAAAATTAATTTTAATAACAGGACCTTTCTTGGATCCAATCACTGCCTCACGCCGACCCCGCCAGAGCGCTCCAGTTCACAGAGAGCCTGCAGTTGCTCCAACCTCCCTGCCAGGTCTCGCCTCCACAACCGGAAAAATGGGAGATCCGCGGCACAAGGTGGGGAGAGAAGCGCAGGCCCCGCCCTCGCCACGCCCTGCCACGCCCCTCACCCCGTCCTCCCCGCCCCTCGCACCACCCCAGGCCCCGTGGAGCCAAGTGGGCTCCCGCCCCGCCCCTTCCTCACGCCCCGTCGTGGCCCCGCCCGCCGCGCTGAGGCCTGACCCGGAAGCCGATCTCTGGGAGTGACTGTCGCGGTGCAGCGCGTGAGTGTGGTCCTCTCTGTTTTAAGTCTGCTCTTCGCAGTCCCTCAGCTCTTCCATACCCGGGATCTGGGGGCACTGCGGGCCTTGAAATCCGCGTTCCTCCACGGGGAATAAATTCAGACGTCCCCATGGGAGTCCCGGGGGTCGCTTCGTTTTGGGTTTGAAGTGTCCCTCAGGGCGGCCTCTGCCGCAGGCTTTTAGCCTTAGGGCCATGGAGAAACCTTTCGCGCCCTTTTTCTGCTGAAAGCGCTTTACTGACCTCTTGGCCCGCCCCGCGCCGTTTAAAGTCCTCACCTGCGAGGTGCGGTCGGTCTGTCGCGTCCTCCAAGCCTCGCTCTCGTCCGCCCCTGCCGGGCGCGCCGCTGCGCCAGTTCGGGGAGGCCGCGTCTTCCGCCCGCGGGGGGAGTCTGCAGACCCCGCCCTTCCGTTGAGACACCCCGCCCTGTCCCCGGCCGGGCCCTTCCGCCCCTCATCCTCCCCTCCGCAGTCGCCGCTTCCCGGACCCCGCGTTTCCTTTTGGGAGGTGATGGGGCCGGTCGTCAAGTCCAAACTTCTAACGTCTGAAATTCCCCCCCCTTCTGGAAATGTGCTCCTCTGGGAGGCGGGCATCTTATTCCATCCTCCTCCCGCTGAACATGGGGGCAAGAGGGTCAGGAGAAAGAGAGAATGCAGAGGAAAATGGAATGACTGGTAAAGAGATAAGGAAGAATGAGGGACACATGCACACATGTCATAGTAGAGCATGGGTCAGGGAGTTTCAAAGAGTCAAAGAAGCCGAGAAAGTAGTAGGGGGAGAAAAGCAAGTGGACAAACGTACAGAGAATCTCTGTCTCCCAAGAGGAGGACAGCAAAATAGGGAGAGAGGCAGCAAAGGGGAGGCACCTCAGACAGAGGGGAGAGGACGAATTATTTGGAGCCAGGGCAGAGAGAGCAGCGTGGTGCTGGGACAAGAGGGGGCACCACAGCAGGGAGGAAACCTGGGGGTGCCAGAGAGAGGAGACAGTGGGTGTCACAGGGAAGAGAGACTTTAACAGGGAGAGCAGGGGAGAGCAGAGATGGGAAAGAAAGAGGCAGAAATATAGGAGATTGGGGACAATGAAAAGATGGGAGAGAAAGAGCAACAAGCAGGTGAAACAAGGTTTAAGACTGGAGCAGCTCAGATGGAAGAGAAGGAATAGAGGGAAGAAGGGGAGAAAGCAGAAGAGGAGAGGGGGTCAGAAACCCGGGGGTAAAATTAAGAAAAGAGGGGGAGAAAGAGCTAAAGAGAGAAGGTGAGAATGAGGGATATGTGTGTAATGAGGGTGGCAAACACAGTAATGAAGAAAGTGGGTGAACCTGACTCCAGGTGAGTGGTGACTTGATTGTTTATGGATGATTAAGTTGTAATACATTGATTTCTTTCTCTGCAATATAATGAATTTAAATTTTGTGTGTTTAAATTACACAGATGAGCATGAGAATTGCAAAACTCCTGTCCATAAGGGCTAGTGCATTTTATAGTTATGGCATCAGAGTATAGCTTCCACTTGCAGTCCCTGTTCAGCCAGAGGACAGTGACTTTACTCATTCAGTTGTGGGTCACCCTCCTTTCTTGGGATGGGGTGGGGACTAGGGAAGTGAAGTAGAACAAATAATGAGTCTCTGTTGCTTTGTGCAGCTTTTTATAAGGAACATTGAAAGTGATTTTGTTTTCATTTGGTAATGGATTTACCTTTTATTTTTCTGGTTCCCCTTCATTTCATTCATTTTTTTATAAAGTTTGAAATAAATTCCAGTTTATTCAGATTGATTGTTCATATAAAATTACTTCAAAAATAAGCCTTGGTGGCATCGTATAATCAGTGCACTTCACTTAATTCTTTTCTAAATAGAATATATTTTCAAATTTTTCCCGTGACCCC